TAGAGTAAAATTATTTTCACCCTTTCGCTGGTGATGTCAAAGAAAAATAAAGTTGACACAATAGTTCGTGAGTTTGTGAAAAGTATTTCCTGCCTACCTGAATGGGAGACTCGACGCGGATGCATGCGACGCAATTTTGCAGCTTCTCTCGGCCCTCCAAAATGCCATTCTTTGCGAGTGCCATTGGTGAACTATACACGAAACCAACTTTGACTGATAATAATGATAAAAGCTATATCGTGACGGCTCTCATCGCAAGCTGCAATTGCAGGCTGCTGGGCGCTAACAACTTCCGGTGACGCAGGTCACGCGCCACCGCAGGTTAAAGGTATTTTATTTTTTAAATACTTTTAGTGAAAGTGAGACTGATAGGATGATTTGGGTGCAGTGTGCATTAACACAAAAGTATATTACTAGCATGCACAGAGATACACAAATGTTTGTTTGATTTTTTTTTTTTTTTTTTTTTTGACCTCGACACCCCTCGCGATCGACTTTGGAACAGTCTGCGAGCTACCTGTCAATCGCGATCGACGTAAAGGGCACAAGAATACCTCCGATTATTCTTATTACACTTACTTTTTCTCCACTCAAAGCAGCGAGTAGTCGGATAGTAACAGCTATACTCGTCGTCTGCAATCCTAAGAGACGCCCGTCTTAATTGAATCGGCATTTTAACATCGGATGATGATGTTTTCAAGCTGTTGCCACGAATGCTACAGCAGCTTATTGTACTGCAGAGAAAATCCTGATTACTCAAAGGAGAGGGCTCTCACATTACAGGAGATAACCGTGCTGGTGTAAAAGCATATCGTTGACAGAGATTTTCCATATGAATTAGTTGGCTTTATGCTCCCAGTGTGCCATGGACGTAAAGTGGAGCAGCGAGAAGTGGGGGTGGCGGGGGTCACGTAACATTAGATTCATTGTGTCTGCTCCCGCTCCTCTCAGCACCTGTCTCAAAGGGCAAATTAATCCTGTAGCCAAACCATCCCACTCGACACTCCCCCCACTTCCCCCCTGCAGTGTGCACAGACGAGACACATCTGTCCGAGCACTCACCCGCGGCCTGCCGTCTTTTCTGGTACACATCACACGCCACCTTGACACTGTGGATGCGAATTGCGGCGTCCGTTGCTGTTTGTTGTGCCCTTTTCTCCCCATTTAACCACAATCAAATATTATCTTTGCTGGCAAAACAGGCGAGAGCAAAGAAATGTCACACTAACCCGCAGGAGACAACTTGTATTTTTTTTTTTTGCTGTAAGTAGGCCAACAGAAGAGCACAGGTTGAGCACGATTTTGGTCAACCTCCCATCTGATTGAATTCAGAATTAAAATATACCTTGTGAAATAATCGTTGCCATAATAAACACTTGATGAACAGTGCATACAACTTTTTAAGTAGCCTTTTAGATTAAGTTAACCATAATTAATATCAACCAGAGATTAAGCAGTAAGAAGCTACATTGACGCTATTATTTGTTACTTTTTTTCAATAACTTTGTGGGTACTCACTGGTCAGAGGAGTTCAAATGGAACATAGTTTTTTTACTTTCACTTGTAACAGTGCTCTTGATTCGATGACTCTGCAATGCAATACTTGTTTATCTTACTTTTTAATTTCACTTTACAACTTTCTTTTCGACCTTACTTAAAAGAGGGAAGTCAAGTCAAAAATGATCATTTCAACAAAATGTTCAATGTAGCCCCACAAGTCGAAAAATTGCATTACGATTAACATTGCACTTTGGGAATATGAATTAGAAGGACGTCATTTTGCCACTTGCTGTCGACTGGAAATGACCTCAAGGTTACTCAGGGCTCAGGTAACAGCCACCGTTGCTAGTCAATCTGCTCATTGTCATCGCTCTGGCGGAATTCACAATCACGAAACATCATGTCTTGCTATACGCTCTTCGGCACTTTACACTTCTGTTGCTAAGTAACTCCCAGGAATATATCGTGCATTAAACAGCTCTTAGAGCCATGCGGTGGATTGTGGCGTCCAAATAATGCATTAAAAGCATGAGCATGAGTGAGGCCAGTGCTCAGGTGGTGGCTGGCCCTGATGAGTCGTAGCCATTGGCTCCTCTCCAGTTCGGCTAAACAACATCAGCGGCCAATCACACAACTCCGAGCCGGGCCCTAAAGATTGAAACCCCGGGGATGAGCATGTCTGTGAAGCGGCTTTTTCATGCTTACTTACACAAACGCAACAGATGTACATAAGTGTTTTTTTTGCTCACAAATGTGTTTATTTTTATGGCCTCAGACATTCCTGCTGATATTTTCAAGTTACAATCTCAACATATTGCCAAACAGCTGCCGAGCATCCGAGTTGTTTTTCCTCATGCAAATATGTTTGCCTCAACGTCAGATTTCTGACAGATAAATTCAGCAGTCGTCTATTCAACATCATTACACACTTAGAGATCATGTTCCAAAAAAAAAAAAAAAAGACATCTGGTCCACTATACATGATATTCATGATATGGATAGCACACAAAATGAGCGCGCGCGCACACACACACACACACACACACACACACACACATACACAACAATACCGTTGTCAATGTGTTCCCCATTCAATTACACAGCTGTCTTAAAATTCAGTCTCAGCGTCTTCTTGAATTTTCCTTTCCGCTGCTCCTCATATACCTGCGGGATATACGCATATGCGGGGGATGTTTAAGTGCAGTATTAGAGAGGTAAAGAGAACACAAAAAGTGTGGCTGTGTACGAGAATGAGAGCGAGAAATGGGAACAAGATGAGAACAAGAAAGTGAGGAAGGGCTGAGAGAAAGGGATGGTCTCTCTGGCCTGTCTCTGCACCTCTTTCAACCTGCTCAGTCAGCCGTGCGCTCGGCCTTGTAAACTGCAGTCTGACTTGATTACTTTGTCGGTCTTCTATGTAAGTGGCTTTTGCTTGCCGCGCGAAATGGGCAAACATGCCCGACAGAGAATAAGATGTGAGGTGAGCCGAGGGGAGAAGCTCAAACTAAATGAGAGGAAATGGTATTCTTCAATGCGTGTGGATAGTGAAGCATCACTGTCCATATCAACTTTTGCAGCACAACACAGAGCGTTGGTGTATTCTCCCTCTATTGGCTATAGAGGGAGATATATTGTAGTTCAGAGACTGTGCCTTACTCTTTTTCTAAATTAGCAAGGATATGAACTACTTTGGAAAACATTTGAAGCAATCGCTAGGCTATGCAATATCATGGTATCAATAGTGATGGCCAATGGGAAAGTTTCTTTAAACATGCAGATTTGAAAGTTCCCTTAACCAAATGTGGAAATGGCAAAAGGCATTGGTCACCTGACACCAGATGTGTGCCCTTTTCCCGGCACCTTTCAAGCATGTCACACAATGAAATAAACACGACGCAAACCTGAAGCGATCTGCTCAGAAGTGGGGGGTTCAATTGTGTTGCTTGCACTCAAGGGGAAGGCAGCGCAACACTGCCACCCTAAGGCCAAATTAGGTATGACATAATTCACGTACTTGTGTACACAAATAAAACATTAACTCTGAGCCATCCTACTTATGCGATATTGGTAGCAGCATAGCAGTTTGTTTTATTATGTCAGTACATATACCATTGTATGTGTACCGGTAATTGTGTTGGACTGCCGGATAGGCAGCACAGTGGGGAGTGGTTCACAATTCTGCTTCATAGTTCTGAGGTTGAGGCTGAGGTTAAGTTCTGAGGCTTATTTTGCGTTGTATTTCATCCCTAAGCTCACAAAAACATGTATTCTTTTTAGTCAGCAAAATTCAGGCCTTGCACTACCAGAAAGATGTTCACTAATTCGACATGCTGTGAATGCTTCCTGCTCTGAGACTTTCACCATAAACATCTTGACTCCAAGCTATTTTAGGAGTGGCCTTTTACTCCCACTAAAGTGCTTTGCGCAGTTGTCACAAGGGGATTTGCTGGTGATGTGCACCTGTGCGATTTAAAGTTTTTTATTATTTTCAATACTGTGCATACAGCAAGAGAATCTAGGCAAAGAAGAAAATGCCAAACAAAAGGCCGTTACGCTATTGATGTTGACAGACAGGAACATGATGAGCGGTGCTCCAGAGAAGTGAGGCTATGTGGAGGCCAGTGACAGCATCTGGACAGGTCATTAAAAAATACACATTCTTGGTACAAGCAAGAGTCACATTGTGCCTGTTCCTTTAAAACTTAGGGCTGAGTTATTGATCTCAAGTCACTGGAAGTGAATGTACATAATAGTGCAAGTACAAATGGGGGTTTGACATCACTACTGTTAAGTTATGTTTTGCACTTTATTCCTGAAAGCCTGACATTCAGGAGAAAGCAAAAGCCCAAATGGTGTGGTGGCATGTGAAGACTAAAACAAAGCATTGTCTTTTTTTTTTTTTTTTTTGTAACTAGATGCTACACATTTGTTTGTCTTGAACACATTCTTGGCAGTAAACATGATTGTGATCCAGACGATTATGAACAACTGTTGAAATCTATCCATCCAAGTGTGTGAGTCAGGAGACATTCCAAAAATAATTACATCTCAACAAGAATTATTATAATGGTACAAGTACAATTCATAATAGTAATTAGTTGTAATGCAGTAAAAATATTCCCCAGCCATTTGAAAGGAATTCAGCGCCCTGCTGTGTAAAAAACAAAAACAAAAAAACGCTGGTATTTGAATCTAATAGGTCAAATGCAGAGGTCAAATTTCCTGGGTGTGTACATAACAAAATAAAGAGGATTGTAAAAAAAGATATAACAATTCTTCCTACATCTGCAAGTGAAGGTTGCCTATTATGCATGTGAACAAAGTTGACGAAATAAATCATGATAAATTAATACAAATTCATAATTGTATAGTTAATAATATATTAGCAAATGAAAAATTAACCACATATTAAAAATAAAATAAAACTAGTGGACTTTCGACGTTCCGACAAGCGGAACGGTTTTGAGAAGCCGGAAGTGACGCCACAAAGACGTGGCACGTCAACCAATAGCGAGCTTTCTTTGTGGAGTATGAACATGGCGGCGCTCCACAGTGAGTTTGGGGACCTGGTGCAAATTAAAAAGCAGCTCCTGTCTGTAACATGGCTTTGTAAGGAAAGAGGACTTTTACAGAGCGCCAAGTGGTAAGACTGAGGCTCAGTAACTGTCGAGGCACTGACAATTTGTCGATCGCCGAAGTGACCGTTTTGTGTTGTTGTTTACCTCACCGTTTGCTTCTTTTGCATTCATTTTTTTTGTAAAAGAAAATATGAAAATACGTCATACAATCGTATCACGCGGGTTGCTGATTGAATCGCTTGATCGTTAGGTGGAGAAACGTATCTAACCGAAGTGCACGCATGTAAACAAAAGCTGTTCGTGTTGTATATACATACACTGGCAGAGATAGGAGAGCAAAGAGAAACTGTTTGTCTGAAATAAGTTTTCAGATCAATGGCGTGAAAATTGAAATTTACTGTGACTTGATGTATGATCTCATGACACGTAACTGCTGTTTTCTGTCTTCCATGATTTAGGGCTTCTGAGTTGGCCTTTGCTTTAGATCCTCTTCCTAAGCATGCATTACCACTACCAAATCCCTTTTCAGAGGTTTGTACCGCGTATTCTTTTTCAATACTCACAAAGCTTTAATGGAAAACCCTGAATAATAAACGGTGCAAGTAAAAATCACCGCAAAAGTTGTCTCAGGGAAATGTACACATGGAGTGGATGTAAAACAGATGATACCGCTCCATCCTGACAGGCCAGTGTTGACTCTGCTTAGTTTTACAAAACAGTTTTTCTCCCCACCCTGCTTTGCACCTACAGCAAGACATACAAGACCTCGATGCGCTCACGCTGGCCAAATCCTACTTTGACTTGAAAGAGTACGACCGCGCTGCCTACTTTTTGAAGGGGTGCACCAGTCAGAAGGCTTACTTCCTCTACATGTATTCACGTTACCTGGTAACCGTCAGGCGTCAATACCAACTTGGATAACATTTTCACACTGCTGAGCTGAAAGCATCCCTTTTTTTTTTTTGTTTGCAGTCTGGTGAGAAAAAGAAGGATGATGAGACGGTCGACAGCCTGGGTGAGGACAAAGTAATAGAGAGCGCAAGTGTTTGGGGTTTTTTGGACCATCAACGTGAGCATAACTGTTTGTAGGTCCTCTGGAGAAGGGTCAGGTGCGAAACGAAGCTTTGCGGGAACTGAGGGTGGAGCTGAGTAAGAAGCACAGCGCAGGAGAGCTGGATGGTTTTGCCTTATACCTGTAAGAAATATTCTTTGACTTTGTCAGTCAGACATAAATCAGGGCAGTAATTCTCAACCAGTGTATCGCGAGACCTCAATTATCCAAATTGCACTTAATTTACAGGATATAAAATGAGCCGCCAAAATCTTGAAAAAAAACTGCGGTAGGTTGATGTGCGCTGTTTGTATGTGTGTAAAATGGCAGGTATGGAGTGGTGCTTCGAAAACTGGATCTGCTAAAGGAGGCGGTGGAAGTTTTCGTGGAGGCCATTCACGCCCTTCCTCTTCACTGGGGGGCGTGGCAGGAGCTCAGCAACCTCGTCACCAACATTGAAATGGTTAAAAGCCAACGTTTAAAAGCACGGACGGGCGTTTGCCCCGCCGCAAGCTAAGGGTGGAGCGACTAAAAATCCATCCTCTGGTCCTCTTCTAGCTCAAGTCTCTGTCGTTGGCTGACTGCTGGATGAAGGACTTCTTTTTGGCCCACATGTACACAGAACTGCAGATGATCAAGGAGGCGTTGCAGAAGTACCAGAACCTAATGGACGCCGGCTTCACCAAGAGCACTTACATCATTTCGCAGATGGCCGTCGCCTACCATAACATTCGAGGTTTTATTTTCTTTTTCAAGTCATAAAAATTTCCCAGCATTTCTGAAACTTGATGAGCGCTCATCCAAGTCACACCGCAACAATCACAGATTTTGGAACCATTTTGGAGAAAGTTTGAAGACTTTTGAGTGCTGTCATTGCAGATATTGACCAGGCGGTGGCTCTGTTCAACAAGCTAAGAGAACACGACCCATATCGCATCGACAACATGGATACTTTCTCCAATCTGCTCTACGTCAAGGTGAGGCCTTTTTAAGACTGAAGTGGAAGAGAAACAAAAAGATGGACATTTCTTTGGTGTGCTTCCACAGATCATGAAGCCCGAATTGAGTTACTTGGCCCACACGTTGGTGGAGATCGACAAGTACCGAGTGGAGACGTGCTGCGTCATCGGTAAGCATTGATCACACCGTGGCCCACTATTTGGCTATGCGTACTTCATATCTAAGCGGCGGTATTGTCGGCAAACTAAACTTCGGATTATTGTGGCAGGCAATTACTACAGCTTGCGCTCGCAGCACGAAAAGGCGGCCCTGTATTTTCAGCGGGCCCTCAAACTAAATCCTCGCTGTCTGAGTGCCTGGACCCTCATGGGCCACGAGTACATGGAGATGAAGAACACGTCAGCCGCCATACAAGCTTATAGGTTAGCGACCGCTTCTTTTTGGCGATCACATTAAGGTGAGCGTCACGAGTATGTTTTTGTCTCTGTCAGACACGCCATTGAAGTCAACAAACGGGACTATCGAGCCTGGTACGGCTTAGGCCAAACTTATGAGATTCTCAAGATGCCCTTCTACTGCCTCTACTATTATCGAAAGGCTCACCAGCTCAGGTTTGTATCTGGCTCTCGTCTATCGTTGACATGGAAGCCAATAGCGATTTTCACGATTTATTGCGGTCGCAGGCCCAACGATTCGCGCATGTTGATTGCGCTGGGCGAAAGCTATGAAAAACTCTCCCAGACCGCTGAAGCCAAGAAGGTAGCTCACCAACTAAGACGGTATTCTTTCCTTTGCGTATGCGCATGTTTGGAGACACGCACGTTTTTTTGTTTCAGTGTTACTGGAGGGCGTACTCTGTTGGAGACGTAGAGAAGATGGCGTTACTCAAATTGGCAAAGTAAGGTGGCATTTCACATTTTCATCTTTGTACAGGCAGATATAATACAGCTCTTGTCTTGAATCCCATTCCATTGTTCGGGTATACCTACTGAAATGTTGGGTGTGTTTTCCTTGTCATCTAAACAATGCTAAATGTGAATATTCGTCTCGTTCAGGCTCCATGAACAGCTGAATGAAAACGATGAGGCCGCCCAGAGTTACATGCTTTACACCCAAGACGTCTTCTCCTGTAGGGTAAGCGTTTTATGTAAACTCGTGCTCTGTTCGAGGGAAAGCCTCTCAAAGGGCAAGAAAATTGACTCTTTCGTAGCTTTTTTTTTTTTGGGCAACTATTTGGGCTCTGGAGGGCATGGACACTCACCCGCTGGTTCCGATTTCCTATTTCGTACAGTCTGAAGTAGCTCGAGCTCCAAACGCTTTCCTTACAAATACTGTTGTTCACACAGGAACAGTTGGAACACACTGAAGTCAGCACGGCCCTCAAATACCTCGGTCAGCACTATTTCAAGAACAAACTCTACGACGAAGCGTCTCTCTGCGCCCAGCGCTGCTGTGACTACAACGATGTGAGCGTTCATGTGCATTCTTTGAACAGTCTAGAAATGTTATTGGATTCAGCAACACACTAACCCCCCCCCCCCCCATCCCCTCCTTCTGTATACTTTTACAGGCACGAGAAGAGGGGAAAGCTCTGTTGAGGCAAATCTCTCAGGTGAGAGATCAGGCGGAGACACCGTCGTCGTGCGATGTGTTTGCTCCGCTCTCCAACAACAATAACAACACCACAACACCCGTTAGGCGGGTGTCACCACTCAATGTCATCTCCTTCACACCCTGATGCGCCTGCTTGTTTTGGACTATCTCAATGAAAATGATGGGAAACCGAGCAGATCGTGTTCAAAACATTTACTGAATGTGGCATACAGTTTGATATGAAAACTTGTTAAGCTGTGCAGTCTTTTTTTTTCCCCCTTTGGGTAACAAAACACCTGTGATAAATACTTGGGGGGTGAGGGGTGGGGGTCCTGCGATCAAGCACAGTGAACACATGCCAAACTTGTTTAAGCAGTTCCCTTGTATATTTAAATAATGACAAGGTTGTTTGTATACAATACAATAGCCAATAGTTTGTATACAATAGCCAATCATATTCCAGTCAAACAAAACCTCTTCTCTGTTGCATACAAAGAACCTTTAAACGGTATACTAAGACACATTGAACCTTGTTGAGAGCAAAATTGTTACAACGAATATTTGCCGTTATATATAACATGAAGAACATACAAAAAAAAAAAAAATCCCAAGAAGAATTAGAAGCACCACATCCCTGTAAATACACAACCTCTTTCAAAGTTTTTCCTCCTTGGTTGAACATCAGAACTGTACTAAGGTAACCAAACCAAAACCGTCAATATACACACACAAACAGCCGATGAAGCGTGAACAAGCTTAGTACTTGCCTCGTAGGCGGCGAGGGGTAGGGATAGGAGTCGCCGGCGGAGACTGCTGGCGTGACCTCAGGATCTGCGAGTACGGGGTTTGGGCAGTGTCCACGGCGTTGCGCGTGTTGTATTTGCGCGTTGGCGTGCAAGCGGGGAACAAAGAGTGGTAAAAGGGCCTCTTCTGAGGAGGCTTGTTCTCAGAGTTACTGGCCGCCACGGCAGCACATCCCCGCTTCTTGCAAGAAGTGGGCGTGGCAAAGCCCAGGCGGGGCACCGGGAGAGACTGGACGGCCTGCGCCTGAACGGGGGTCTCGACCTTGCGCCTCAAGTCAGCCTTGACGAGCGTCAGGCCGTTCTGGAGCTCCACCAGGATCTGGTCCTAAGAGGAAGTGGGTCAACAGGGTTAAACGGGCGCAGTGAAGGCGAAGTCACCCAAAGGAGTTAGGACAGCAAACCCTCCACATGCTCGAGCACACAAAATTCTCCCCATTGGTTTTAATCGATTAGTATTTATTAAAGCTGGTTGTGCGGGGTTAGAGGTCAGTGAAAATGAAAGGGAGAGGGAGAAAAAAAAGAAGGAAAATTACTTGGAGAATAGCTGAAATAAATAACATCCAATTATGTTTCTCATCAAAACTGTTGTTGAGACGTGTCAACTCCTCTCAGCTAATCAGTAGGTCTTTAATACGAGGCATTCTTCACAGATCTAGAATATAAGACGACTGTGAATACTGTTCAGATTGTCTTATGTGTTCATCGCTTGAAGGGTTCTAAGTCGCGATGGCGGAAAAACGGACCTGCTTGAGTAGCGTTTCATCCGCCGCAGCTAATGCCTGCCGCAGCCTCTCACCGCCCGTGTTGCGGCAGCAGGCCCGTTCGCCAGACTGCAAGTCGGAGCCGAGCTTCTGCAAATCCGAGCGCAGCTGACGCAGGTTCTGTCGGAAGCAGAAGCAAAAATTAGCGATGGCCGCGAACGGGTGGGGCCAGTGGATTTAGCTCCTAACCTTTTGTCCCTCTACCAGCTTGCGGACGGCAGCGTTGGCGCCTGCAGTGCCTGGTGCTTCCAGCTGCAGTTTTAGCTGCGACACCTCTGCAATAGCAAGCAGAGGAAACAATGAAAGTGGCGGGGGCGGGGAGGGGGGGGGAGACATCATTTGTTTACACAACAACATTGGAACATACCCCGCGTCTTGCTTAGCAGCTCAGCACGACACAGTTCGAGCTCTTCCCGCAGTCGCGCGTCTTCTCTTCTCTGGGTGCTGAGGCGCTGAGACCGCCGTTGCGGTTTTAGCTGCGACACCTCTGCAATAGCAAGCAGGGGAAACAATGAAGGTGGCGGGGGCGGGGAGGGGGGGGAGACATCATTTGTTTACACAACAACATTGGAACATACCCCGCGTCTTGCTTAGCAGCTCAGCACGACACAGTTCGAGCTCTTCCCGCAGTCGCGCGTCTTCTCTTCTCTGGGTGCTGAGGCGCTGAGACCGCCGGGGCCCCTCAAGTTCTTGCTGGGGCGGAGGGCCCGCCTCACTCGTCATCTTTCGCTCCAGGGCAACCGCCAGTTCTTCAATCTCCTGATCACGCTCCTACATCAGCGGAGACGGTTGACATCAATTTCCACCCCCGACATTCTTCACGTCAGAGTGCAGGTTTACAGGTCACCTTTAACTCTTCGCTATAGAATTTCTTCAAGTGTTTCTGTAGGTTTGTTATTTTGTCCTCGCAGCGCTCTTCAATCAGAGCCCGCTCTGCTTCCAAGGTCTCACTACGGGACAGGAACAGGTAATTTTTTTTATTCTTTGGGAAAAAAAAGGCTACATGGTTCGTGCTCAGCACACCTGAAATCATCTTGCATTCTGGAAATGACCTCCATCATCTCTGCGACAACCTGCTCCCTCACGTTAGCCTCGAGAAGTTCTTTTTCTTGCCGCTGGCGCTGCACCTCTCGCTTCAGGACGTCAATGGCCTGCAGCAAAGACTTAAAAAAATAAAAAATAAAAAAACAAAATTAATAAAGCAGACATGACTATTCACATTTGCTCAAGTTGAGTGCCTATCTTGTACAGTTCTACGCTGAATTACTTTATATTGAAGAAGCGACACTGTGGCAGTTAGTGTCGACATTTGCTGCCTCCAGGACAACTTCCAGACAAACATGTTCAACACCAATATGAGGATAAAGTTATATCAAGTGATAACGTCCCTTCACCTCATGCAACGACTTACCTCGGTGTTCAACAAGGTGATATCGCCATCCTCAACATCGCTCTCGTCTGCATCCCCTTCCAACACGGTGCTGTCATTCCCATTCGCTGGCTCACGCAACAGGGACAGTATATACGCCACTCTGGTTTTTGTGGAGGGTCCATGGACCAGCTAGAAAAGGGGAGGGGGTGTACTCATCACCTTTCTTTGGTCTGATAAGCAAAATCTAAAGTCAGTCCAAATGTAGATGCTTACTTGGGAAGCGATAGCCGAGAACTTGAGGGCTTGGAGAGTCTCATCATAGATGGAGGCGCACGTGTTGATGTTGACCACCATGCTGGATGTTCCTCGGCCACAAAAGAAACCCTGAAGCACCCGCGTCAGCTTGCTGTCCCTGAAGGGCACCACTTGAGGTGGCCGTGACCTGTGAACCCCAAATTTGCTATATTCTTGTATACGGGTGAAGGTTATTTTGAGCACCGCGAGTTGTAGTCGAGCGCGTACTTGTTGGTCTGGTTGTGTCTCAGAGCAGCGATACAGCGGCCCAGGGTCAGAAGGGAGGTGTTGATGTTGTTTGCCTCCTTCATCCGTTCACCGTTGCGCTGCTCTTTGCAGCGTTCCGACCCAGCTAGATCACACACAGTCAGTCTGTCAAGAGTCCACATGAGAGCAGATGAGTAAAGCAGACGACATAAAAAGGAAGTGTGATATTTGAGGACACCCAAAAAGAGTCCACTTACTCGCTGAGGTGCATGTTCTGACCAGATTCTGCATTTGGGCGGATGTGCAGGACACGAATGGAGAAAATGCTATGGCTGAAAAGATTGGGGGGAAAAAAAAAAAGGTAAGCTCGGAGAAGAAATCAGGACCATTATCACGTCACACCAGTGCACAAAGAAGTGAAAATAACTTGAAAGGCTCCTACCTACGACTCGAGTTTTGGTTGAGATGTGTGCTGGCAAAACTTTGGTTTCGATGTCCGGTTCTCAGAATCTTCCAAGCTTCCTCTGCACTCCGGACCTGAACCCATGTGAGGTCTGACACAACCAGCGGACACAGCAAAAGTTTACAAACACACAACGTCGGCAAAACACAGCTAAAGATGACATACGCATAACATCAGCGTCCAATGACAGCATCTATACATACATCTCCCACCCGCGTGTACGCATCTTTTTGGTCATTTCAAAATGGCAACGGCACATTTGCGAAGGTGTCAATTAATTACCCTTCACGTAGGGATTGCCGTGCTTGTCGTCGCTAAGTCGCAGCGTGACCCTCTTTCTCGGCTGCAGAGAGGACGCGGCGTCCAGTAAGTCGTACAGGAACTCGTTGTAGATCTCGTAAAAGGACACCCAGATGGAGAACTGCAGCCCTTCCTCAAGGTCGTCTCCGCCGCTGTGGGAGAGGCCGTCGGGCTCCAGACACACGCTGTCTGCAGGGTAAGGATGTGCGCACTTCAGGATGACTGAAGCATTTAGCTTAAACTATACGCCTTTCCCGTTTTTGGGGGGTTGAGGAAGTCCAAAATAAAACTTTTTTTTTTTTTTTTTAAATATGCTCCTTACCTTCCAGTTGGGTAGCAATGTGGCTTGTAACCGAAAGTCCCCCAATGCCGCTGTCCCACGTTGTCGTGTTTCCACCTCGACATGAACTCGGGTTCTCATCCTGTAACGCATTCATAATTCTAATGTGCAACTATTCAGCGACAGATATTACTTCGTGCTCTGGGTTGTTGTTTTTTTTGGGGGGGATACCTCTTTGAGCAGAGAGTTTCTGCGCATTTCCTCCACCCTGACCTCAGAGGGTTCCAGATGTCTCACGTCCTGGTACAAGACAGGCTTCAGGTCCATGGCGCCATACAAACGACCCTGCAGTTTTCGGAACAGAGACACTAAAGCTCTGGGGAGGAGGCCTGCGTCGCGACCGGTGCCTGCAAAAAATATATAAATATATATTGGATATTCAGAAAACGGTTTAAATGTTTAGGAAGGCTTCAACGCTGTCGCTTCAATCAATGATGAGCACTGGGAATTTTGTGTTTCGTCTAGCTCATAGCAAAACATAATCTCACCTTGAATAGTGTAAGTCTTTCCGGAATTGGTGACGCCGTAAGTGTACAGGAGTCTATTCTCTCCCCGAAGAACATTTTTGACCATCTCCTTCATGGTGCTCTCGTAAAAGTCTTGCTGTGTTGTCTCCGGTCCACAAATCTTATACAAGCAGAGATCAACGAGACAAAGCATATGTTGTTACAGTTCTTGCATTTGTTCTCATTAGTTGTGTCACTATTGTGTGTGCCTATGACTGAGTGCTTCATCAATGGCAAAAAACAGTTTCTATCTTGGAAACTAGGCCGCAATATTTAGTGACTTTTTCTACCGAGTTTTATTTATGTTCAGCAAACAGCTATCATTTTCAAGTATGAAACATACTATAAGAAAATAGCCCAGTGGAATCTAATCATGGAGTCAGTCACCCTGAGCTTGACTTTTTCTCCCGAGTTTTATTTATGTTCAGCAAACAACTATAATTTTCAAGTATGAAACATACTATAAGAAAACAGTGGAATCTAATCATGGAGTCAGTCACCCTGAGCAGGATCAAGCTCTTCTGGGATTACAACCAAAGATTGAGATTTTTGTGAAATAATTACCGTAATCGATCTTTTTAAGGCCATCATCACAACCGCCTTGTTGTGTCTAATGTGCTTATAAGAGTAACCCACCTTGGAAAAAGTGAACTTGTGCATGCTCTGAGAGATGCCCCTCTCTGCCATCTTCATGTTTTGTGAGCACTTGGGAGCTTTGAGCAGCAAAGTCTCTTCATCTTGTACATCCACACATTCCTGGAGGAGGGGCACATTTAGAGAGGCACCACAAGCATAACAGAGGTGCAGCATAGATCAAAATTCGGACCTGTTCTTCACCCCTCTCTCTCTCCAACTCTGTGAGGGGTCTTATACGCAGGAAGACTTTCACCCTGTCCGTGTCGCCTTTGCCTCCACTTCCTTGCCTCGTCACAGCAGGTTTGGAAGCCAATTCCTAAAATAAGAATGCAACCAGGACTTGAATCGTGATTTGTGAATTCATGACAGCCAAATAGTTTGACAAGTGACTTATTCAACTGGAGAGGGGTAAACTCTGCATGAGACATTTAATTTTAAATCAACCCATACAATGAAAACACTAAAAACAGAGATCATAAAAGACCTAATACAATAATACTTACCGGTCCAACGGTGGAAGGCCGGGTGTCCAGGCCCGGTGATATGACTGAGAGCTCAGGAAGACGTGGCATACCCAAGCCTCCATAGTCTGCTGCAGTTGACTCAAACACAGCCATATCTTCCCCTTCGTCGAAAGGGGACGCACACGTCGAGGACAAAGAAAACGCCATTGACCTGTTGCAAAGAGGACAATGTATGTCAAGTTAGATGGGTGCAAAATAGCGTCTGTATAATTCAAGTTCCGTCTTACCTACTGGCACACCTATTGCACAGCACATTTCTCAACTATAGTATACACATTGCAGTTGACATTTATTCGCTGAGTATTTGTACAGTCCGTAGCTCACTGCTAATCCGTGCACGTGAGGGAGTGTCAAAACGCAACTTCTACACAGTTGCCAAACAGGAAGGATTTCTCCAACCTCTCCCATATGACGTGGGGGAAAAAGTAAAAAATTAATCCCACTTCTTCCCCAAATTACGATTAATGACTGAAATGACCATTTTGTTTGTTGCTACAGTGAAGACTAGTCGTTACATGAATGCGAAGTTCCTTCGCGTATAAACATGACTATAGATCACTAATATGTATGATAAAATAAAATTCGATGCAGGTGGAGAAAACATTATAATTTGACATACAATTAATGCTAAGTAACAATTAGGTACGATTTAACTAGCATATATAGGCACGACGTTACGGTTGTTTTGAACTTACCTCGTTTGTAGAAAAGGTTCAAAGGACGCTTGTTCTCAAAAGACTGTAACCAGTCTCTATAGTCGTTCAATCACAAATAATTTGAGATAATCTTCAAGTATATAAAACCACGTCAAAGTAACTGGAGACGTTTGGCCTGTCTAAACACTGTTTACACAGTATCGTCGTTCAAACTATGCGCCAGATAAACGGAAGGGGCTATGAAAGCAATTTCGAGTTTGAATGAGACTCCAACTGTGAAGCCATCCGCTGATTGGCTGCTGGTCATGGAAGTCTGCTTTGATTGGCTACTACGAAGAGTGAAGGTGCTCCTTTCAAGCATTTCTTCCTGAACAAGTCAGGCTTTACAGTAGTTCCGGTCACATGTTCATAACGTCCTCGATTTTGATGGCGCATTCGAATTCACGTCGCTTGAATTGAGTTTTAGTTGATCATACAAGACGCACAAATGGAGACGAGAGAGGCGATAGTAGTAGTCGATTGTGACAAATGAATCCACCCACAATTGAATAACTTAACCATACGACACGTTACTGTATTTAGTTTGAGAAATGGCAGAACCTTAACCCTTGATGGAATGTTCATTACACTAAAACGCCTTTTAGCTATTTAACCCTAACAATATATGTTTATGATTTGTTCGTTGTAAGCATCTCACGATCCGGACACAACTCATCCTGGCACAAAGTTCATATGGAATAGAATATGGAAGCACACTCACACCAAGTCAGTTTATTTTTTACAATACAGTCGATATGTTTCGTAAAACATTCAATGGTATGAATGTAAATACTGATTTATACAAAACAACAACAGTTTGTCAGTTTGACTAACACTTATTTGATATGTTTAATCATACTGGCCATGATCTATAGCTCATCCCATGTTTGTTATCAACAAACCCAACAAAATCTAGCTGAAAACTGGTTCAGGACCTAAGTTATCATCCACATTGGAAGTGATTCTGTTGATGGTGCCTTGGTTGCGTGAATTTTGGAGCCTTTGCTTCTGTACACTGTGCCGAACCCCATAAGCAAAGTAGATGATTAAACCTGTTTAAAGGAAAATATTTGTTGCTTTATGTCCATCCATTTTGACGAAGACTTATGTCAACATTTCGTCACATACCTATCGCCATCCACACGACATAGCGTATCCATGTGTCCGATCCCAGTTGAACCATGAGGTAAATATTGATCAAGATGCTCAAGATAGGAAGCAGTGGCACAAAAGGAACCTATGCGTGCAAAAGAACAGAAACATGGCATAAGAAAAAAAGAGTCAACAAAAGTAGCATGGGAAAACTTGTATCGTATAAGTAATTTGTAATTAACAAAGGTAACATGCCATGAAAGCAGCTCTCGTCGTGCTCTGCGGCTGTCTCCAGATAATGAGGATAGTGAGGCTCAGAATTGCCGCCACTACAACGACACAGAGCACGCTCCACCACTCCGAAGACTGCAGCGCGGTCACGGCTTGGGATATGAAGAGACTCAGGATGGTGGCTAAAAATACTGCGATCAAGGGAAAAAAAAAGCGACCTTAAATCATGAGAAATAACAGAAAACAGTCATACGTGTCATACTTGGGAGCAAACAGAATATAAGTGGGGAAAAAAAATAACAGAAAAAAAAGAGCACTTACTTATACAAACTGTCAAAACGGACACACTTTTTGATGTGCGTGCTGTGCATTGTGAACGAGGAAAGAAGAGTCCACTGACGGTGAACGGTTCTTTGTTGTCAGCATCGACGTCCACTTGGTATCTGTACAGGAGGACGACATACGTGATGCACTAAATCTGTCCGGTGAGATCCACTGGAATTTATGCATGCATGTGATCAGAACGATTTTCATTCCGCCGATGTAAAAGTATTTCACAGCATGGAATCACACATTACGCAAAGGAAAGAAATCTGAAAACACGACAATTACCTTAATATGAGAATGCATATGGCAACAAGGGTGTAGGCAAACAGGGTTCCAATGGACATCATGTCAACCAGAGCCTTCAGGTCAAACAATAATGCCATGATGGCTGCAAAGTCACGAGCAAAAGACGACATGACAAAATGTAGTCACATTTGTGATTTTAGTTATTGTTGTTGTTGGTGTTGTTGTTACCCGCGATAACACCGGACGCCAGCGTAGCGATGACAGGACTTTGTCTCTCACTCATTTTGCTGAGAAGGCTGAAGAGAAGGCCGTCCCTCGCCATTGCAAAAAGCACTCGGGGCATAGGGAACATTGATCCCAAGAGGCTGGGGTGCAAATTAAAACTGATTTGGTGAAATCATAAATCAAACATGACCTCCTCATCACTAGGCTATTGAATTGATTCCGCACGGACTGCTATGACTGTCTGAGAAGACTTGAAACTGCACCAGCTAGCGTTGGTGTGGAAAACTTCACTATTCACGCACCAAGTTGGAGGCACGCCTCAACCACGAATTGTATCGAATTGGAACAGTCCACTTGCAATCGATTCAATAGCCTGGGAATGAAATGACCCTGATGAAAGATCATTTTCACAGGCACCTATCACTTCATTAAAAAAACAAAAAACAGTTACACTATATGAACAACAAACCAACGGAAGTGAAACTATGGAGAAGGTCGTGTCTCTACCTTGTTGACAGTGCACAGAGAGATCCCACTGCCACGGCGTACTTTGCAGGGCCCCAGCCCACGTATGTAAAAGCCACAGGCAGTGGGCTGTGAACACTGAGCAAATAGTATGGCATCATGAGAGTGAGGGCAGCGGACACGCCAAAATAAGCCAAGAAGCAAACCAGAAGGGACGCCACAATTCCGAGGGGGATTGATTTCTGGGGATTCTGAACCTCCTCGCCTAAGGAAGGAAAATAAAATGAAAACACACAAAATCTCATACCTGCAGCATAAGGCCCAGTGGGCAAAGCTTTGACAAAAACATTATATACTCTGTGCTCAGATGCATATAAATGACAACAAAGTGTATTCTTTGAATTATGGGCTTATTATGAAGTATTTCTAATATTTTGGTGACCTTATTTGGCCACCCAAAAAAAATGTCTCGAGGCAGGTTTTGCATTTCAATTCAATATATTGATTATTTTTCCTTGCAGTGTACTTAAATCAGTTTACCTGTCGTTGCAATGCAATCAAAGCCGACAAACGCGTAAAAGCAAGTCGCCGCTCCTGCTAATGTTCCGTCAAAGCCAAAAGGGAAAAATCCGCCAGTTCCAAAAGTGACGGTTTCATTCGCTGATGATGCGTTTCTAGAGCAGACAGAATGGAAGGCATTAATGTCATTCATAGTGTCAAACAAAAAGGAATCAAACAAATTTTTTTGTCTGTTCTTCCGAAGGGAAACGAGAAGAGCGAGCACGATTCGGATAGGTGTGTCTTATTTTTTTTGTCCATGTAGTGTATTAAGAGAGCGAGAAACAAAGATGCGTACTCATGTGAATTTTGTAGACTTGCTTCATCAATGTACCAGTTGTTGAGATCTCCCTTTATGAAGCCGGTGAGAATAACAAAAAGCAACACTACGATGTTAACCGCTGTAAACACTTTGTTCACGATGGCAGACTCTTTCACGCCGAATGCAAGAATCCCTGGATGAAAAGTCACACAGTCCAAAAAAAAAATTTAAAAAGTTGTCATCTAATACGTAAAGAGCGTGCGAACGGTTAAAACATGCCTGCCAAGAGCAGAATAAGGCCAGCTGCAAAAAAGTCCGGGTAAGGAGCTAATCCTGGCAGTTCCATGGCGGCGTGTTTCCCCAGGGAATTGGCAATGACATTTCCGATGAGGTCATCAAAGGTTCCACTCCACGCTCTGGCCACACTGGACGTGCCTAAACACAACAAATGGGGACATTCATTCAACCACTTCTTTGTAAAATCATTTGTTTCGGTCTCCTAGCATATGCTTTAACGTTGACCAAAAAGAAAAAAAAAATCAAATAAAGGTAGAGATCAGGCTCTGTTGCGAATGCCTGTCACCGTGCTACAGATACAAATGATTGACTTGTGAAGTAATCTTGGGTCAATTCTAACCGCCCCACCCCAAAGCACTGAAAAATGGACACATGGATGGATAATGGACTTCGGCTGTATTTACCAATGACATAAGACAGGAGAAGGTTCCACCCAGTGATAAAGGCCCATATCTCGCCCACTGTCACATAGCTGTAGAGGTAGGCAGAACCCGTCTTGGGGACCCGAGCTCCAAATTCAGCATAGCACAATCCCGCAAAGACCGAAGCGATGGCCGCTATCAAGAAGGAGAGGATGATACTGGGCCCGGCCACGGTTCGGGCCACCTCTCCGGACAGCACGTACACGCCGGCCCCTAATGTGCTGCCCACCCCCAAAGCCACAAGGTCAAGGGTGGTCAGGCAGCGGCGGAAGTTGGACACCTCTCCTTCGGGCTCCAGAGGTTTCCTGCGTGATAAGCTCTGAAGGAACAGCAGGATCTTTGCACCGGACATCCTAGTGAGACACGAGGATACACGGGTAGATCAGGTTTTGATGCACGGGTATGCAGAGGTTTCAAATACAAAAGAAAAGGTGGTGTGGTGGTCGCCTGGGGAGCACGTCCGTCCGCCTCACAGTGCAGAGGTGCAGGGGTTCAATTCCGGCCTGCCTGTGTGGAGTTTGCATGTTCTCCCCGTGCCTGTGTGGATTTTCTCCGGGTACTCCGGTTTCCTCCCAAATTTCAAAAACATGCACGGCAGGCTCATGGAACACTCGAAATTGTCCCGAGGTGTGATTTTGAGCACTAATTGTTGTTCGTCTACATGTGCCCTCCGATTAGCTGGCGAACCAGGTCAGGGTGTCCCCCCGCCTACTGCCCGAAGACGGCTGGGATAGGCTCCAGCGACCCTCATGAGGATAAATGGATGGCTGAATTACACGATTACTGGCAATATATTGGAAAATATGACTGATAAGGCAAACAACTTTTATTTTATTTTAAGGACGGTGGTCAAGTGACGCTATTTGTAATCACATAACTGCACAAGAGCTTTTAAAATCATAAAGTTGACTGCAATCAATCAAATGGCCCCGATGAAAAGTTTACACACCCTTGAATGCTTTGCCTGATAACACAAAGTAAAAAGTAAACATGGTTTGACACACGCGCTACTTCAAATGGATATGAAGGGTGGATTTGCATATTGTAATTTGTGGCTGTGTCTAAATAGTCAACAGATAACTAGAGATTTGAAAATGACAATCGGTAGGGGTTCAAACTCTTTGACCCCCCCCAAAAAAAAGAAAGAAGTGAAAAATGTTCAATTGATGTCGGTCAGGTAGACCGACAAAGCTCTCCGTCACAACTGCCTGGAAGATTGTTCAGGATGCAAAGTAAACAAAAAGAAAAACCCAAAACAAAACAAAAAAAATCTCTGCAAAAAAAGTTGTTTTGCCGAACCATTCCGTTTTTCACTCAAGAACGGGATATATTATTAAAAATCCTGCCAGGCATGTGTACGCTAGGTTAAAGGTAAACCTTTTTGTTTAGTTAGGGTTAGTTATGGTAGTGCAAAGGCTGCTGGGCTATGAACATTCAAATGACAATTAAATTAACATCATCATCGATGCTTAGCAGTCATTTCCTCTGATTACTCTTCCCACCCCCCTCCTAAAAAAAAATAAATATTCCCTTACCTTTGCAGGCTGCGAGTGGCTTTCAACACGTTTCAGACCACACCACCTATGTGGATATGTCAATCCCCTCGCTGTGAAGTCTTCATAGCGCGGCATTTTTTGATGCATTCTGTTACATTTCAGATGTATGTGCCATTTCTGGAGGGGGCGGGGGGGAGAGAGGGAGAGAATTAGAATTACTAAATGCTGGCATGTCACACATTCGGCCCTTTCATAAAAATCGATTGTGATAGCGTCCAATCATTGTGGGTGGATTGTCTCGTACGTGTGTACCGATGATTTTGAATAGAAATTGATAAATCGAAGGATATTTGTGTGGAGGTGTTGGCAAATTATTCCTGGTGGATAGAATATTTTCATGAACCCCAGTGGGGGAATTCAGATGATTAGGAAGCTGCCAACGGTGGGGAATATCCTCAGCTGGTGATATTTGACTACATTTGTTTTTCAATCTTATGGAAAAATGCGAGGATTAGGTCAGGGTTTAAAATAATACGTCGTGAGTAAAATTGGTAAAGTAATTGTGACAGTCCCATTTTTTCCCCCCTCTAGATGAGTTGTATTGAATCCTTTTGGGAGTACAATTGCCTCCCCTGCCACTAGAGCGGGAGGACATCTGCCACCCCCCCCCCCGAACATGAGGAACACAATCAAGATCCCACACTGTCCAGTGGCAAATGCGACGTCAGTGCGCCACGCAAAAGTGCGAGCGAGCTGTCCAAGTGAAATTGTTTTGAGCGGAGACAACTGCTCAGCAACAAATTGAGGAGTGGTTCATCAGAGCAGAAGGGGACAGACACTGTTTGAGGAAACTAATGGGGGCAATGCGCAGCTTCCAGGGATTCTCAGCGCCATGCAGTCATGCAGATCAGAATCGGACCCAAAAAAAAAAAAAAAAAAAAAAGTACGAAAGAGACCCTATTTGACATAATTTTGATCTCTTATTTACAAGTATTATTGAAACGTCAAGAATGGGGAGCCTATGAGGTGAGGAGGAGTGGAGGCCGAGTGGGCTTTATTAGCGGGAGGAAATGGACAAACCTTCTCCTTGTTAATCATTCATCCCGACCACAAAGTGGGCTCACAAAGTAATTGTCCATGGAATTCATTCTGCACTCAGGATGTTTTGCTTAAACACCTTTAAATGACATGCTGCACTTCTTTTGAGTGAATTTTATTGCGGTGATTACAAAGAGCTTTACAGGTAAGTTGGACTTTGGCATATTTTCCACGTTGGGCCATTTATTTATTCAAATTTTGTGTTCGTGGTCTCATTCCATGAACGATGCTGGTCATTTAACACACAAAACGTTTTTTTTTTCCCGTATATGTGATGTATTAAAATAATTTAAATGGGATATTTGATGCAAGATTGTAGAATGTCAGGGGAAAAAAAAGCATTTGTGTACTCATCATGTCTGCATTATCCTTTCTGTTTATATTTTGTGTTTATGAATCGTGCGTCCTTTCTTAATCTGACGTTCTCGGGCCCCAGTCAGTTTTTCTTTTTTTTTTTTGGCTTGCTTGTCAGGGTAAAATACTGCAAGCTCATTAGTTACACACATTTTAATGTTATGTCCAATCATGATGTATTTTGTTATTTTTGTGATCAAGGAAATTTGAGCTGAAAAAAAAAACCTTGGAAAACATATATCGCTTGTTGAACTAAAGTCATACCAACCGTTGGTCACAAATTGGTTTCAAATCCGGCTGTTGTTTGAAAAGTGGCCTTTGAGAGGAAAAAAAAAAAAAAAAAGCCAACCCAACCCAAAACATTCTCAGTGAGCGGAGAGTGCGGCGGCCGTTACTTCATTATCACATCTCTGCCCCAGCATTTTTCCAGCAGTATTAGCGAGATGCGAGGCGGCCCGCTTTTGGCTGTTCTCCATGATGACTGGGTTGACTGGCCACAGTGTGAGGCTGGAGGAAGGAGGCTCGTTCGAGCGTGACTCCTCTTCTCAGGTCAACACTTCTTTCTTTCTAGAACACTCTCCACAGCGTGAACATGAACATCGCACGGCACCGCAGCAAGCAGATTGATGAGCTGAGATAAAGCAGTATCTTCAGCGAAAAAGGAAAAAAATATATATATAAAAACCCTCCCGGCAGAAAAGATGCCATTTGTTCTGTGTTCCCTGCTGCTTCTCGGATGCACTCGTGTCATGTCCACCTATGGGCCTCATCAACGAGCACAGATGACTGGTGACATTTTGCTCGGAGGACTCTTTCCCATTCACTTTGGCGTTGCATCCAAAGACCAAGACCTGGCGGCGCGGCCGGAGTCCACACAATGCGTCAGGTGACCCACCCGACGCAAAACAAGCCACAACATTGAATACACTCGAACAAGCGTGAGAAAAGTTGGCCGATAAAATGTGTCAATCTGCTCATTTCTGTGAGCGAGGTTCAGAGCGATGTAGACCAGCACATTACACATTATTCCGATTTCAAATAGTGCTTGTCGTCATTCGGGTCACAAGTATCTGCAGCATATCCCAGCTGACATCTGGCGAGAGACGAGTTACACTTTTGATTAGTCGGTAATCCATCGCAATGCACAGAAAAACAAATAAGGTAACGACACACACCCACACAAAAATACATTCACGCGAGCACAGACGTTCCAACAGAGATCCAAATCTGGATTTCCTGATGTGTCTACGTCAACCCGCTGAGCGAACGCGGAAATCGTACTACAGCCCCCCCGTACTGGATCTCATTACATTTTTCGTACAGTTTCACATGCGAAAAGTCGTTTTTACTGCATGTTATGTGGTGTCCTACAGGTTTAATTTCCGTGGTTTCCGTTGGCTGCAGGCCATGATTTTTGCAATCGAGGAGATCAACAACAGCAGCACTCTCCTGCCCAACATCACATTGGGCTACAGGATCTTTGACACGTGCAACACGGTGTCAAAGGCACTGGAAGCCACTCTCAGTTTCGTGGCCCAGAATAAGATCGACTCCTTGAATTTGGATGAGTTCTGCAACTGCACCGACCACATCCCGTCGACTATCGCAGTCGTGGGAGCGGCGGGATCTGCTGTCTCCACAGCGGTGGCAAACCTACTGGGGCTGTTTTATATTCCACAGGTAAGTCTTTGTAGGTGTCCTGCAAAAAAAAAATTGTAAAAATGATCTCGATCTATCGATCCATCTATTCGTCCGTGCGTGGCGTAAACTCTTGTGTTTCAGATCAGCTACGCCTCGTCCAGTCGCCTCCTAAGCAACAAGAACCAATACAAGTCCTTCATGAGAACCATCCCTTCGGATGAGTACCAGGCTACGGCGATGGCGGATGTGATCGACTATTTCCAATGGAACTGGGTGATTGCCGTGGCCTCGGATGACGACTACGGGCGGCCTGGTATCGAAAAGTTTGAGAAGGAGATGGAGGAGAGGGACATCTGCATCCATCTCAACGAACTCATCTCTCAGTACATGGAAGACCACGAAATCCAAGCGCTGGCCGACAGGATCGAAAACTCGAGCGCCAAAGTTATCGTGGTGTTTGCCAGCGGGCCCGATATGGAGCCGCTCATCAAAGAGATGGTCCGAAGAAACATCACGGACCGCATTTGGATCGCCAGTGAAGCTTGGGCGAGCTCCTCTCTCATTGCCAAACCTGAATATCTGGATGTGGTGGCAGGCACCGTTGGCTTCGCCTTGAAGGGGGGACATATACCCGAGTTTAAAGACTTCCTGCAACAAGTGCAACCAAAGAAAAACGCTCACAATGAATTTGTCCGGGAGTTTTGGGAGGAAACTTTTAACTGTTATCTGAAAGACAGTCGGCGGCGTCACCAAAGTGACAACGGCAGCACAAGTTTTAGGCCTTGGTGTACAGGTGAGGAAGACATCACCAGTGTGGAGACACCGTACCTGGACTACACCCACCTCCGTATCTCATACAACGTGTACGTAGCAGTTTACTCCATTGCGCAGGCCCTGCAGAACATCCTAACCTGTAAACCCGGACATGGACTTTTTGCAAACAACTCCTGCGCGGACATCAAGAAAATGGAAGCGTGGCAGGTAAAACGTTGCACTTTTTCAACAAACCGAGACGCTAAGCCCGTTTGACCACAACACAAATTTGTGCTTCCACAGGTACTAAAGCAGCTCAGACATTTGAAATATACCAACAGTGTGGGAGGAAAGGTGCACTTTGACGAGAACTTTGACGTGGCAGCAAACTACACGATAATCAACTGGCACAGGTCTGCCGAAGATGGTTCTGTGGTGTTTGAGGAGGTCGGATACTATAATATTCACTCAAAGAGGGGAGGCAAGCTGGTCATTGACAAGACAAAGATTCTCTGGAATGGATACAGTTTTGAGGTACATACCAATCGCAATCTTTTGTCTGCGGTTAGTGAAAATCAAGTCACAACGGTTCCGTTCAGTCTGGAACGGAAGTTCCAGATCTGGTTTGTGTTTCTACACCGGGGCACAGAGGCAGGATGGCTCACGCAATCGCCTCTTTCACTCACCGTGATCGAAAACGGATGTGACAATGCGGGAACGGCTGAATTTGTAGAGGCTTGACCAGTTCTGCTCACTCTTATCCGACTTTTGTCTGCTTCCAATCTGTCAGGTGCCATTCTCCAACTGCAGCGAGGACTGTGAGCCTGGAACCAGAAATCGTTGCAATGCAATCAAAGCCGACAAACGCGTAAAAGCAAGTCGCCGCTCCTGCTAATGTTCCGTCAAAGCCAAAAGGGAAAAATCCGCCAGTTCCAAAAGTGACGGTTTCATTCGCTGATGATGCGTTTCTAGAGCAGACAGAATGGAAGGCATTAATGTCATTCATAGTGTCAAACAAAAAGGAATCAAACAAATCTTTTTGTCTGTTCTTCCGAAGGGAAACGAGAAGAGCGAGCACGATTCGGATAGGTGTGTCTTATTTTTTTTGTCCATGTAGTGTATTAAGAGAGCGAGAAACAAAGATGCGTACTCATGTGAATTTTGTAGACTTGCTTCATCAATGTACCAGTTGTTGAGATCTCCCTTTATGAAGCCGGTGAGAATAACAAAAAGCAACACTACGATGTTAACCGCTGTAAACACTTTGTTCACGATGGCAGACTCTTTCACGCCGAATGCAAGAATCCCTGGATGAAAAGTCACACAGTCCAAAAAAAAAATTTAAAAAGTTGTCATCTAATACGTAAAGAGCGTGCGAACGGTTAAAACATGCCTGCCAAGAGCAGAATAAGGCCAGCTGCAAAAAAGTCCGGGTAAGGAGCTAATCCTGGCAGTTCCATGGCGGCGTGTTTCCCCAGGGAATTGGCAATGACATTTCCGATGAGGTCATCAAAGGTTCCACTCCACGCTCTGGCCACGCTGGACGTGCCTAAACACAACAAATGGGGACATTCATTCAACCACTTCTTTGTAAAATCATTTGTTTCGGTCTCCTAGCATATGCTTTAACGTTGACCAAAAAGAAAAAAAATCAAATAAAGGGAGCGCTCAGGCTCTGTTGCTAATGCCTGTCACCGTGCTACAGATACAAATGATTGACTTGTGAAGTAATCTTGGGTCAATTCTAACCGCCCCACCCCAAAGCACTGAAAAATGGACACATGGATGGATAATGGACTTCGGCTGTATTTACCAATGACATAAGACAGGAGAAGGTTCCACCCAGTGATAAAGGCCCATATCTCGCCCACTGTCACATAGCTGTAGAGGTAGGCAGAACCCGTCTTGGGGACCCGAGCTCCAAATTCAGCATAGCACAATCCCGCAAAGACCGAAGCGATGGCCGCTATCAAGAAGGAGAGGATGATACTGGGCCCGGCCACGGTTCGGGCCACCTCTCCGGACAGCACGTACACGCCGGCCCCTAATGTGCTGCCCACCCCCAAAGCCACAAGGTCAAGGGTGGTCAGGCAGCGGCGGAAGTTGGACACCTCTCCTTCGGGCTCCAGAGGTTTCCTGCGTGATAAGCTCTGAAGGAACAGCAGGATCTTTGCACCGGACATCCTAGTGAGACACGAGGATACACGGGTAGATCAGGTTTTGATGCACGGGTATGCAGAGGTTTCAAATACAAAAGAAAAGGTGGTGTGGTGGTCGCCTGGGGAGCACGTCCGTCCGCCTCACAGTGCAGAGGTGCAGGGGTTCAATTCCGGCCTGCCTGTGTGGAGTTTGCATGTTCTCCCCGTGCCTGTGTGGATTTTCTCCGGGTACTCCGGTTTCCTCCCAAATTTCAAAAACATGCACGGCAGGCTCATGGAACACTCGAAATTGTCCCGAGGTGTGATTTTGAGCACTAATTGT